AAGCTCCCATAACTAGATGGTATAACCGAGATTACAGATTTCTAGATCCAACCGATAATCGACAACCGTAAACCGTAGCACAGGCTATTTTTCAAAATTTGTCGTCCGTGGGATTTGAACTCTAGACCTGCCACTTGGAGAGGGTGACGACTAGACAAGATTTGGATAAATTTTATAAAAGCCAGATAATAGTAAATATATAGTATATTATTTTACTAATAATCACTTTACTAACAGTTTAGTTTAATAACAATTAATTCACAGCAAGTTTATTTTATCAACATTTAACTTACTAACAAGTTTATTTTACTATTAATTAATTTACTAACAAGTTTATTTTTTTGATAATTATTTTATTAATAGCTTATTTTGCTAATAGGTATTTTTTATAAATTATACTAATCTTAACCCTAATTCTAATTTAATACTAACAACAATAACAAAATTACTTTGTTAGTAAAATAAACTAACAGTGAAATAATTGTTAGTGAAATAAACTTGCAAATAAGTTAATTGTTAGTAAAATAAATTAATTTATAACAATGCTTTTTTTTTAGCCAAAGTATATATAGTAAATAAAAAAAAATTCTACTAATAGAATAATCAAAAATGAATGATTAATTAAAGATTTTAAACATAACTTCATTTGGTTAATGTCAATTTTTGTTACAAAAATTGCTAGAAAAAATTATTTGTATACGAATTACATCAATTTATTAAATGCTTTTTTTTTTAAACTGCAGTAGATGTGCCGATCAATTATATGAATAAAAATCTAGATAGTAACATTATTATTGATCCTTACATCATTTTGCCTAATTAGTATTTGAAATGTCCCAATGATCTGTGTGTTGCATGATGCGTGTAACCGGGTAATCTGATATGATAATCTCTAATCAACGGTACCAAAAGAAAAAAATGCATGTTTGTTTCCTTAGTGAATAAACGTTCTTGATAACAAACCGTGGTTCTCCATTGTGGTATTGCTGACATAAGGTGTCGAAGTGGTAGTGCTTGGTACGATACACGTGCCAAGTGAGTTTCTGACTTAGTGAATCGAATCCAAGATTCCTATAGCTGAGATCTTCGTGACACTTACCATGCGTAAATCTTGCATTCCAATCCTGGGCGTATTTATTTGTTGCACATGTGTTGTCTAAAGATGCCGTCTTGTGCATACATACGTACGCGTGTACAAGGACTCGGATAGTAATACGTAACATACTATTATTGATATTGTATGAATCACAAATAATTTGTAAAATATCTTAGCAACAAGATGCTAACAATGAAGCATTTATATAAACATGAGATTATTAATAAGATATTAGCCTAACAATCAGTACATTTTTCATCAGATTTGTGTTGCGTAGCATCATATTGAAGGATACTAACTCCAATGAAAGGAATTTCCTATTATTTTCGTATAACCAATATTGATGATTCATATTAATTGTGGTGAAATTTTTGGTTGTCCCTTCACTCTATTATTGATTTACAAACATATTTAAAGAAGCTAATCTCAAAATAAATTGTTTCAAGATGTGTACTATCGATCCTAATGACTTTGTAAACTTTAATCCAGATAAATACAACTCTCTTCCTGAAGTCGATGTCGCCTCAAGCAATTTACAAAAATGCTCTGACCTCGCTGAACTTTTGGAAAAAATCTTTTCTCTAACCAAAAAGCATTCTCTCGAGCTTGGAGTTCGATTGGTTCATCGCCATATGCAAGTGGATGAAGGGAAAGTTATGGTTGAGAGATTCCAGTTCCATCAAAACGTTCCAGCATTTACAACCTCAGCCCATTTACCAACTGACCAAATTTATCCTGCGAGTTGGTTACTTGAGGATAATAGCAAATTTTCAGTATTTGAGTATTCCACAGATATTCTGGTGAGGTATACCCTCGAAAAGCTAATCAAGGATCCAAGTATCTTTATGAAAATTTGCGAATTGATTAGAGAGTATCATTTTGAGAATTTGCTTGCACCTTGTATCACTGCAAGAGATTCATTGAAGCAATTTGATAAGAAAAACGGATTTATGGAATTTACTGATCTTGAAACCAATGTTAGCATTGTAAAGAACACTAAAGATCAGACGATATGTAGCCACGAAGGAGCATTAATCATTACTACGTTGTGGGCATATCCAGTAAATGAAAATTGTCTTAGAGGTGACTATCAAAAGAATAGCGATAATTATAATTGCTCTCATTGTTGGCATGACCAAAAGTAATTTAAGCCGATTAAAAGCAATTTTCCAAATAAATTCGAGAATTTATAAATCTATTGTGACGGATCATGCCGAAAATTTGCCATATTTTATTATGAATTGTAAAATTTTTAAGGGCCCTTTTTTGTGGTCTTTTTTTTTAATGGTTAGATTAGGGTTGGTGGGTAGTTTTATTAATAAAAGAGTATATGTGGATATTAAGTCACAAATTTCAGCATAATCCAATTTCAGCACAATCCCTCACAATCATAAATCTTAACCGAAACTACGAAGTTTCAAAGATGCCTAAAAGTATTTCTACTTAATTCGTGTCTTTTATTTTCGAAAAGGTAAATTCCTATTCGTTTTTCAAAACCGTTATTATTCAATTCAAAGAATTATCTGCATGCTTTTTTTATAACGATTCTCAAAATGTTTTACAAACCAAAACAGAGAAACTATCAACTTAGATAAATATTTGTAAAATGATTATAATATTGCACAAAAAAAAAAAAGGACAAAAAAGCAATATTATAGACAAACATATGATCGGGAGAAGGCGAGAGTTATTGAAATTTTTATAGATTTAGGTTTACTAAAGTTTAGATATACTATACATTATTTTAATTAGGTAAATTATAATTTAAAGTTAAAACATGAATAGTTACTATATCTTAAATAAATTGATACAACGAATATATTGTAAAAAATTTAAGAGTTTCAAAAGTAATGTGAAATTAGAGTTACGAATTCGATGATTCTAATGCGTATTTTTATTTTTTATGCGTGCAAAGTAATTTTCTTTAACACAAGTATAATTAGGTGTCACTGATGCTTTTACAATTTTGACGTAAATTCAAATAAGATTAAAAATTATACCCATCATTGATCTTTCGATTTAGTTAAATCGACGATCCTTATAATTTTTTTTGATCCCGTGAGAACTATGATTATAATAAGGTTATTCACTTCAACTTCTTGGGACTCATTTTAGAAGTGATTTATTTCTCCTTTATTATTAATAAATAATCTCACGAGACTCCAAAAAAAATTATGTAGATCATCGATCCAATTAGTGATGCGGTATAAACTTTAAGCATCAGAAAAAGCCGAACGTAACGATGCTATAACTCATCATAATGTTTCGGTTTTAAATTACGGTGTCACGTTTAAAAATTATCTTCGATAGGTTACCTGAATGCCGCAGTCATGCGAGCCCATAAAAGTGCATGATCTGCAAGACAATGTAAAAGTAAAGGGAAATTACATCGCGTCTCTTAAAGCATGCGGTCAAATTTTAATGGTTCGCTTCGATGTAAAGCTTAAGTGAAGAGTTATTGGTTTAAAAATAGAAAACACCAATGAGAGAGAATAAAAGGTTAAATAATACTTTCCTCAAAATCGTGTATATAAGGCTTTCGATTTCGCCTTACTTTAGCTCAGACTTTGATTGCCTTTGAACTCTCACCCATAGAAATAGTTATTTTCTTATCTCTTTTGTATTTGTTAGTTATTTTATCGGTTAGATAAAGTAGCCATGTCTTCATACATGTTAAATTTCCTTATTTTCTTAATAAAATCTATAAAATATAAATCATGTGATATCATAAATTCAATTATACAAGTTTTAGTAAAAGAATTATTTTTAAAATGAATACAACCTTCTATATCTTCATATATAGTAGTGTCTGTTTGCCTCTTTCAATAAAGTCTTATTAAATCCTCTTTGTTTAGATGTATATTTGACACCTTTAACTTCCTATTTCACCATAGTTATAGTCTTCATACTATAACAACCCATCTCTTGAATTTGATTAAGAGGTGAATTCTAAGTGTGACAACGGCATGTTGTAAAATGTAAATATACTGTACGTATTGTTGTGACATGTAAATATAGCTATACCAAGTCAAAACTTTATTATGTAACTCAACCTTTCATATATCATAACTTTATTTTTTATTTTATTTTTTTTTTAACTCTTTGACAGTCTTGTTACTATCTATATTAAAAGATAATTATTACTTATGCAAAACACATGTGACATATCTAAACTAAATAACCAAATGCGGCATCATCCAGTTGCTTCTCGAGTACCTAGATGTGACCTGTTGCAATGCACTATGAATAGAACAGAAAACATTGTTAGCCCTGCCTAAGAGCCAAAACTTAATTTTTTTTTATCTAGATCTTGGCAGAAAGGCTCGGTGAGCCTGTTTCTCTATTCAATAAAACCAAGAAAAACAAAAAAGAAAATAAAACAAAATTGCAAGAAGAGAGAAATAAGGGAAACAATTAAAAGAAAAGAAGACTATAAAGGGAAAAAAATGAAAGCCTAAATGTAAAACTCTAATATAATCATATAAGAAAAAGATGAGAAAAAAATAAGTAAGACCCTTAGACCAGGCTAAACAACATAATAAAAGAAAATAAAAGAAAGTGCACTATTGTAACCTGTGCAAGACTTAAAAAATTATATAATAAATGCAATATCTGTATATCTCTACTGTAAGACTTTGCCTTTATGTATTGATTTCTTTCTGACTATATGACCAAATCTGGATAAGTCTTTAAATGAGGACTAGTTAAAAGGCCTTGTTACAAGGAGTAGTGACGTGTTTATTTCTAAATAAAATACATGGTTGCAATCTACCGGGTTGACCAAATTTGGAAGGAGTAAACAATGCCGATCTTTTGATGGTGGTAAGCTGTTTTGTCCACTTTTTTCAAAAATTTTGTTGCAGGCACAAGTAGGTAAGAGTAAAGAGTATAGACCTTGTACTTTTCTTAAAAGAGAATATATATTTCTTTAAAAAAAGTAAAACTAGTACATCTAAGCGCACTGCTGATATTCTTTTCAGTAAGTGATAAACTTTAAACTTGTTAGCAAGTAGCATATAAGAACTACTTCTAAATAACAAGTGCTATCCCCACAGTGAGTAATAAGCTCTAAACCTATTAGCAGATAGCATATAAGAACTATCTCTAAATAATAGATGCTGGTTTATAGTTCTTGTCAGTCTTATATTCTCCTTCTCTAACATAGTTCTACAGATTTTGTCAAAATTTTTTATTGTGAAAAGTTGGTCTAAGAGATTATTGATTATAACTTTATAATTTACAAGAGAGGTATTTATTATTAAATGAATTATATATTAGTACATTGTTAGTAATTATAATTTGCTATTTATATTATATCTAAAGTAGATTAATTATCTAGTTACACAAGGTATTTAATTAGCACCAGAGATGTACTTTTTAAAAAGTAAATTTTTAAATTGTCTTAATTGTTCAAAGAACTTTTAATATGTATTATACACAGAATATTTGTGAAGAACATTGTTTAACTTGGTAGCGTAAAGACTTTTTTAAATAGATTTCTTGTCTTATATTAAGAACTTGTCTCTAATTATATCTTCAAATATTTCCCAATGTCAACATATTCTCAAATTGGATCTGGTTTAGGTCCACCATAATACTTTTTTTAGAAAAGTTGAGAAAATCTTCCTCTTTAGACTGATTATTATAAATACCATCACTGTTTTGAATTGATTTATTATTTTGATAGTTGTTGAGAAATATTACTACTATTAGTACAGATTAATTTATATATTTCAATTATATTATTTTTAAGTATACCTATTATAAAAAGAGTTTTATTAACAAAAAAATTTTAATAAAACTGAACCAAATTTATTTATAATTATTTTATTATTGTTATGATGTAGTTATTACACATAAATTATAGCTTAATATGCTTATTAATAAACTATTGCTAACTATGGTTACGAAATTAATAAGGTGTTCCATTTGAATCAAAAGTGCAATTTTTTTAAAATTTTAAAATTTTAAAACTTTGAAATTGTAAAAATTCAAAAATTTGAAAATTTGAAAATTGAAAAATTAAAAAATAGAAAATTTTGAAAATTGAATATTTGAAAATTGAAAAATTTAATACTTAAAAATTCGAAAAGTAAAAATTTTAAAATTTTGAAAATTTTATATAATAAAAGCAAGAATAACTCAACAATATCTTAATCAAATTTAATAAAAATTTTTTTAAACTAATTCTAAAAATTTGTAGAATTTATAAAAAAAAAATTTTATTAAATTTGAATAAGTTATTTTTATTTAAAGATTCAAAAAAATTTTATTAAAAAAAATATAGTATGTTTCTACTAACTCACCCTCATATAATAAAACTATAATAAATTTAATTTTATTATATAATAAATTTTATTTTTTTAAACTTTTAAATTTTAAAAATATCAATTTTATTGCAAACTGCTCAGTATGTAGGTATTGAAACAACTTTTGTTTTGAATTATTATAAGACCAAATATGGTATATGTTCAATTATGTTTAGTCTAATAAACAATTATATAATTGTGATAAATTCTAGCACTAATAGCACTAGATATTTAAACTTTATTAGAGTAATAGTATATATCAGTGTGTTTGATTTATAATAAAAAGAGATATATTGCATATATTAGTAAAAAAGATATATAGTATATATTAGTGTATTTGTTATATAATTGGAATTAGCCAGTGGTTTTATATTCATATAAATGCAGAATGATTGTTAGCCAGAAGCTTTGTAGTTACATAATCTTAGCAAGTAGTTTTTCACTTGTATAACACTAGTACAAATTATATAATAATAATCACTAATCAAGATTTTTTATTTTTTTTTTATATTTAAAATAAGAACTTGCTCTTATCTTTATTAAGCTTAATGAAAACTTTTTATATAATTGGAAAAGGTTTTATATATTAACCTAGTGCTAAAAATAAAAACTCAAGCATATAACTAAAAGAATCTAATAACTTAAGTAGATCTAGTACCTTATCTGTGGTCTAAACTAATCAAGATTTTTATGGTAAACTGTAAATCAATAATAATTTAATAGTAAAAATATAAAAAGCTCAAGCTGTAATAACTTTTAAACCAGTAAATTTATATAATATAATTATATTTGTTAGGTTTATTATAATATACCTTTAATATAATAATGCTTTTTAT